ACGAGGAACGAACACGATTTCCGTAACTCCGTGAAATTAACGTCGTTCGGAGTCTCGCTTTAAGGGACCCGAGCATATTGAAATTAGCATAGAAATTCAAGAAAAAAAAAAAAAAAAGGCGAATATTTTATTTCCAACTCGTGATATTAGTGATATTAATATTTTATTTATTAACTTTTTTTTTCTTCGTTCCAATCCTTCTCGTAGAATAAGAAGTATCCAGTTTGCCATACCCTGATAACCGATATGAATAACGACAGTGTTTCGGAATACGTAAATAAAAATTTTGTTTTTTTTTTTTCTTTTCGCGGAAAAATGGTCTCCGGCAAATAAATTGACGAAAGATCTCGCAGCATCCTTCGATGCAAATCTATACCGGTCGACCTACTATCACGATCCTGGTCGATGTCCACGCTCGACTAGTCAACGGTCTATAGCTGGATACTGCCTACTCCTCTTCGGGATTTGAAAAACGGTCCAGCGACCGATCGCTGGCCCGTGACAGATTGCACGCGATAATTATTCTATATACTGGTCGAGCGAGACGGTTACTTTGCGGACTTTTATCCGAACGCGTTTATTATCAGTTTCCCAGAGTGGACGGAAGGTGCGTGTCAGTTTGGTATTTAAATGGGAAAATTTTATAGATCGTTATCCGTACCACTTTAATGATCTATATGATCGATCCTTTTGGATCTCGCATTGATTGTGTCAGTTTTCCCCCCTTTTTTTTTCTTCACGAAAAAGTCGTCATTCTGGACCATTTAGGGATTAGGGATCCAATGGAATGTCGTACGTCGTAATATACATATACATATATGTATATGGGTCTGATGGTTTTGACTGATAAATAAAATGCATTTTACGAAAGCATGGCTCGTATGCTGGTGAACGTGATAAAGTAAGTCTTGTGATATTCTGACGTATCAATTAGCATGAACATCCGAGGACGATAACCCGTCTGAATGGGAGATAAAAAAAATCTTGGATGTCGGAGTACGAGGGATAAGAAAAAGTACTGGTGGGATTGTCGCGTCTGGCGGTAAGGAAAGGTTCCGAGGATCGAAGGTATACGACTACCGTAGCGGTACTATTAATTTCCATTGAACGTGAAAAATAAAAATCGATCCCTGGCTATTGGTACCGGGGATCTCTCTGGTCCTCGCGGTACCATCTTCCATGACGAGCTGTATATATAGGTAAAGTGAGAACGAGGACTCAACGAGGCGGAAGAGAACTAAAAGTCGACCATATAAAATCTGTTAACGCCAATCGTTCCAGCTCTGCCCGTTCGAGCACGGAGACCGATTCTATCAATGACTTTTATAACCTCAAAAGCCGCAGCATAAATTCGGGCGATTTACGCGGCACGGAATTTCCTTCTTTTATAGTGGCGAATTAAATTGTTCACCATCTTAAATTGCCCACCCCCTCGCTCTCCTCCCCCCCCCC